TTTGATGTCTTCATATTTTTCATGATTTTTCTGTTTGGATACATTTATATTACAGAAAATAAATTGTAAGAATTCCTTATTATTACAAATAATGCATTATGAGGCATGGTAAACATAGAAGCGTTTTGCTATATACATTCCACTTACATAGAAAGCGAATACTATACATTATAAACATTTGGATAAAATATGATAGGTATATTTTATGTTACATATACATTACAAAATAATACATTTCTATAAAAAAGGGTTTTCATTATCACACTACGTAATTCTGTTAATGAATAAATTTGTGAGACATTCGCTTCACGTTACTTCCAAAGTAGCGCAAGTAAAGTCCTTATAACCAAAATCTATTGTAGGGAGAAAGTGATAGTTGTGTATAGATCTATATTGGGTTTGACAAACCCACACCTTAGTTGCATGCAACAGCTAGACCGGCAGGTATGGAGTGAAAATGTCATAAACATTCAGACGCCTGAAGAACGTCGTATATAAGGCCAACTAAGTGATAGTATGGTTACAATAACTCATATGAGGTATTAACAAACATAAGATTTACGGGTTTCCATCTAAACTAACAAGTTTATGTAGATTTAAACTTGCATGATTTACTATTTTATATGGAAAAATTCTAGTACACTATTAGTCTTGGCATTTTAGACTACAATACATTTTAAAAGGGAAAATATTGGATTTTATGTAACAAACACTACTTTTACAAGAAAGGATTTCAACACTTCATTCTAAAAGTTTATGAACTCACCAACTTAATTGTTAACACTCTTTTAAACCTACTTGTATTCTCATGGAGTCAGTAAAACAGGTAAACAACGACTTTTGAGGATGGAACGTTAAGATGTCAAACATTGTATTTTTGTCAAAATAATGTAATTGATTTAGAAACATGTAAACTTATACTATGATGTAACCTTTTCAATTATATTTATGTTGTTTTTTTACTATGAGCACTATTATACTTGTTGTTGTGATACTATACATGAAGTCCTCTACCCCCGGACGTTTCCGCCATCATTGGTTTGGGGGTGTGACAGATTGGTATCAGAGCATTATTTATAGTGAACTTAGTATATCAAACCACATAAGATATACAAACTATAAATACATTAGGACTAAAAGTCTCTGATTGAACATTTTTCAAATAACTATGCTTTTAGAAATGAAATAGTTTCTTGATAAAAAGCATAAGTACATGCATGCATGCCGGTATTGTGGCACATCCAGGATAAGCTATGAAAAGTAAAATAAATTGGACAAGTTGGACACCAACATTATGCCTCGGGGTATCTAAACTTATACTATGATGTAACTTTTTCAATTATATTTATGTTGGTTGTTTGTACTATGAGCACTATTATACTCGTTGTTGTGATACTATACATGAAGTCCTCTACCCCCGGACGTTTCCGCCATCCTTGGTTTGGGGGTGTGACAACAGATTTGTTGTTGGAAACAAAAGGAATCCATTCCTGTTATGAATGGTCTGTTACAATGTTGTTGGGAATAAATAAGAAAGGTTTGGTTGTTGTTTTTATGTTTATATGTCCAAATCTCTTCTATCTTTTCAAGTTCATGGATGTATACCTTGATGGTGTTTTAGTATGTTACAAAAACATAGAAGAATATTTGGTAAATCTTGAATAGGTGTTTGAAGTCCCTAGATCTAAAAGATTCTATGGGAAACAAGAGAAGAGTTCATTTCTTGTTGTTTCAAAGGGTAAAAGGAATTCGAGAAGCAAGATTCACAAGAAAAGGAAGTCAAGTCCCAGTAGGTCATCTGAAGATTGTTCAAGGCCTGATAATGTTGATGATTGGTTAAGCGCAAATACAAATTTGAAGAATGTTTCCAACCATACGAAATTCGTTAAACCCATGCCTACTGTTAGTAATAATGGATCTTATGTTCAAAATAATTTGGGTTTGATGAAGGAGTTGTGGAAGTGTCAAGAAATTCATATCTTGTTGATGAAAACCTTTTAGAATTGAGGACAAGTCTTTTTGAAGAGGGAAGGTCTGATGCGTATTTAGATGGCGGTCCTCCAAATGTCTATTTTTGATCTGAACTCAATTGGATCCGAATGTAAATCACGATGAGAAGTAAAGTTTTCAACTCCGAAATAAGCTCAAATTGAAGAGGGAAGGTCTTATGCATATTTAGATGGCGGTCCTCCAAATATCTATTTTCGATCCGAATTCAATTGGGTCCTAATGTAACTCACGATGAGAAGTAAAGTTGTCAATTCCGAAATAAGCTCAAATTGCGAACGAGTGTGATTGGGTGTGAACAGTCGCAATGAGTCGCAGTGCCATGTTTTGGAATATGAATGCGAGGAGGGATTTGAATGCGAACATGTATTGGATAGATTTGAACAACTACGATTGGTGGTTAGATACGACCGAGTGTGATTTATTGCGAATAGTCACAACCTATTGTATGTATTTGGTGATCGTTGTAATCCGGGTTATAGCAGTGAGGTTCAGTTCACATTTTCTAGTGACTCGATGCGAGGGAGAGTCCGGTTGTGAGGGGTCGAATGGATGCGAAGGCTGTCACTGTACCAATGGGACATATGGATGCGCATCATGACTTGGTTGCGATTGACCTTGATGCGAAGGAGGCTTGGTGGATGCGAAGCCTTGGGATGTGAGGTTTAAAGTGGCGATTTTCAGGGAGCCTTAGGATTTAAAGCACTACCTTTTCCATTTCCCAAGACAACTTCTCCCAAGACACCATTTACCAATGCAACTACTTCGAAGACGTTACTTTCCAAGACAAACATTTAATAACATTTTATTAAGTCTTTTATTATCATCTTAATAAGACATTAACTGGCATAGTTAAATAGTGTCTTTAAGTTATTTTACCATTATCATTTTATTAAGTCTTTTATTATCATCTTAATAAGACATTAACTGGCATAGTTAAATAGTGTCTTTAAGTTATTTTACCATTATCTATGTAAGGATATAAAAGGCCATGCCGTTCATATTCTGGTGAAAAAATAAAGAATCAATAATCAATCAAATTGTATGAGAGGCTGTGATGTTCGAGGTAAAACGAGTATAAAATGGTAGATAAGATGACACAATGGTTTACAAGGAAAGCCCTTGACCCTTGTTAAGATCTCTGGCACAAAACATTGTGAGGTGATAATGATCACCTGCCTTGATGATTTTATTGATTAAAAATGTTGATTACAGAGATGAATGTGTAAACATAAGTACAAGTATCATGGATGAGCTAATTGTGTGTCTAGTGTGTGTAATACAAGTGTTATTTATAGTCTAAACTAAGCAACAAGAAGTCTGATATTCCTGGGATCCTCTAAGATCAACATAGGAACGTTGTTTGACTTGGTATTCTGGGTCTTAAGCTTATTTGAGACGATTCTCTGTTGAGAATAAGTATTTCATCGACTAATTATGCATACATGTCAATAAGAAATGAGATTATAACCATTATAGGTGTTAGTAAATAATGATAATAATAATAGTATGGATCCTGAAGTGGCTTAGGATCCTGAGTGCTCTTTGAGATTCGGGATCCTTAGAGGATTGAGGATCTTACCCCTAACAATTGCCCCCAAATTATTCCTGCAAAATATTAATGTTAGTTTATCTAATATATAAAGGAATAATTTAAATAATAAATAAATAAGTTACGAGATTTGAATTTCAAACCCTAATCGGATAGGGTTTATCTGATCAATAGTAATCATCACGCAGTCAAATCATATCCTCTTTCTTCTGTTACTAGGTTAAATAGGGGTAATCAACCGTTTTTATGTACCTTCCCTAAAATATCTTCCGGCCTTTTCTAGTCATCTCCAAAGATAATTTCTTTTTCCCCTCTTCCTTTAGTTTTTCTTTTCCAATCATGGGTAGAAGGGCGACCTGTTCTCGTGCCAGCATTACCGCTCCTAATGAGAATGAGTTCGTCGATCGGGGCATCTTGACCTATGATGAGGTCTGTTCCTTTGATGATGAAGACACATCGTTCCTTAGAACTGGCAGAGCTTTTCCGTTTGAGGTAGTTTTTAGATCCTTTGAAGCTTCCATTTAGCCTGATTTTGTTTTGTCATCTTGGGTATGTTTCCCTGACTAGCCCTTTTCTTTGGGTTTGAAATATCCTTTCTCGAGTATTGTTTTTGAGTTTTTTCAAGCCACTCAACTCTCATTCATTTAAGTTATGTCCGATGTCTGGAGGATATTATCTTAGATTGATCGATGAAAACAATAACTAATCAGTCAGGCATTGGAATGCATACCTGATTCATCAGATCCATGAATGTTGCAAGTGAATTAGTGAGACTAAACGACATCACCATGAACTCGTAATGGCTATAACTAGTCTGGAATGTTGTATTCTCCACGTCCTCCTCCTGGACTCTCATCTGGTGGTAACCTAATCTCAGATCAATCTTATAGAACCAAGATGCACCCTGCAACTGATCAAAGAGGTCATATATCTCAGGGAGTGGGTAGTGATTCTTTACTGTCAACTTGTTCAAAACCTAATAGTCTATGCACATACGATGAGACTCGTCCTTCTTCTTCAAAAACAGAATCGGTGCTCCCCATGTTGAACTACTCAGCCTGATAATCTGCATTCCCACCAGCACCTGAAGCTAAGAGGACAACTCCTACATCTCTGGTGGTGCGAGGTGATACAGTGCCTTAGTAATCAGGGCTGCATCGGGGATCAGATTGATTCTGAACTCTACTTGCCTCACGGGAGGCACACCGGATAAATCCTTTAGAAATACATCCGAACACTTTTTGACCACAAGCACATTTGAAACTGAAACCGTTCCCTTAACCTGAGTGTCAACCACATAAGTGAGATAACCCAAACATCCATGACGAAGATACTGCCAAGCCCTGGCAACTAAACACAAGACAGAACCAACCCTGGTACCCTCACCATAAATAATTATTTATCCACCTCTTAGGGTTCGAGCTACCACTTATTGTCTCCCATAGTTGATCATGGCTCTAAATCTGCTCAACCAGTCCATCCCTACAATCACGCACACGTCCCCCCATAGGGATGGGAATCAAATCCATCGGATAAGAAATGACTGGCCTAGAAATGGTGAGCCTGCCTTAGGACTTGTTCCTTGTTTGGTTGTGGACTTAGGGCGGACTCATTAGGATCAACAACTTATTAAAATTTTAATTGCACATAATTAGGGCACATCGAGCGAATCTTAGGAGTAGGTCAGACGTAGAACTGAACACATGACTCTGTTTGAGTCACCATTATTTAATTCATAAGTTTAATTGCATAAACTTTTTTTATGAATTACTTGCTAATGCAATAAAGTCGGGATATAATACAAATGAGATAAAACAAGTAACGCTCGACTCGTTATTACTATTGAAGTCTTACCGACTTGTCATTTTAAAACTTGCGTCAAAACTATGCCACCAAGGAAAAGACCAAGACCTTCCAGCAGTGCAACACCACCTCCTCCACCGCCGCCTCCACAATTTGATCCGACAATGTTCCAGGTTGTAGTAACAGCAGCTGTGGCGGCAGCTATGTCGCAAATCGGCACTAATGGCAATAGTGGATCTGGATCTGGTGCTACACCCTCTAACCAGGGTGACAGTTCGAGGCACACAAAGGAATTCACCTACAAGGATTTCACAAATGGCAAACCCAATACCTTCGATGGAGCGAGGGCATCATCACACTGATGCAATGGTTCGAAAGGACCGAAGTCGTCTTCAAAATCTGTGCTTGTCCCGAGTCGAGCAAGGTCAAGTATGCAACATTCACTTTCACCGATAGGGATCTCACTTGGTGGAATGGCAGAGTTAAATCACTTACTCCTGCAGTGGCTAACTCCATAAGCTGGGAAGATTTAAAAGCATTGATGCTAAAGGAGTATTGCCCGAGGGGTGAGATACAAAAACTCGAAGAGGAACTCTGGAACCTCAGAATGTCGGGCAAAGATCTTGAAACTTACACTGCCCGGTTCAATGACCTAGCACTCCTCTGTCCAACAATGGTCACTCTAGAGGAGAAGAAGGTGGAACGATATCTCTGGGGACTATCATCCCAGATTCAAGATAGTGTACTGGCCTCGAAACCCATTACCTTTGAAAGTGCCAGGGAATTGGCATAACAACTTATCGATCACAGGCCCAGTCATGGTACCGTGATCGCCACCGCGGACCAAGCAAAAGGGGGGAACAATAGGAGAAAGTTTTGGAACAATAAAAAGAAGCGGCCAGCGCAGGACCCCGCAAAACTGTGGTTGTCCGTGCTGCCACTACTGCTACCACTCCAACACTACCGAAGCAATATGCTGGAAATCTCCCTAAGTGCAACAAGCGCAACTACCACGACACTAGTTCTTGTCAGGAAATGCATTGCAAAAACTGCGACAGGAGGGGGGCATACCGCTCGGATCTGTAAAGCGCCAGCACGACCGATCAACCAAGTTGCCAATGCAGGGGCAAGCCAAACCTGCTATGGATGTGGTGAAGCAGAGCAATTCAGGAGCAACTGTCCCAAGGCACAAGCCCATAATGCTGGAGGTGTGGGGAGAGTCCTGGCAATAGGAAATGGGGAAGCAGTCGAGGATCCTATAGTGGTTACTGGTATGTTTCTCCTCAATAACTCTTATGCATGCGTACTATTTGATAGTGGAGCGGAGAGGAGTTTCGTGAGCCACCAATTCAAACAAGTACTTAAACAAAAGCCCCAGTCATTAAAAGATTCATACATCATAGAAATGGCAAACGGAAAGGTTGAGCGCAATAATAATATATACATAGGGTGTACCCTCACTCTAGATAACCATTCGTTTAAAATCGATCTAATGCCGGTCACCATAAAAAGTTTCGATATCATCATTGGTATGGATTGGTTAAGTTCTCATCGTGCCGACATTCTATGTTACGAAAAGGCCATTCGCCTTAATCTACCAAACGGCGAAACCCTTCTCATCTATGGCGATAAACCCAGTGCAAGTTTGCAAATCATATCTTGCGTCAAAGCCTAAAAGTATCTCTGAAAGGATTACCACGCATTCTTAGCCCACATCGTAGATAAGAAACGATAGGCGAAGGATATCAAAGACATTGAAGAAGTCTGGAACTTCCCTGACGTATTCCCAGAAGATCTACCAGGTGTACCACTCGCACGACAAGTCAAATTCCGAATCGACTTAATTCCCGGAGCTACCCCCGTTGCCAAAGCTCCATACCGCCTAGCACCAGCAAAAATGCAAGAACTATCCAGCCAGTTGAATGAACTGTTGAGCAAAGGGTTCATCAGACCGAGCTTTTCACCTTGGGGAGCACCAGTCCTTTTTCTAAAGAAGAAGGACATATCCTTTCGCATATGCATCGACTATCGGGAGTTAAACAAACTTACTATCAAGAATTGATACCCTCTACCCCGAATCGCCGACCTTTTTGACCAACTTTAGGGAGCAAGTTACTTTTCAAAAATTGACTTGAGGTCGGGTTATCATCAGCTGCGAGTTCAAGAAGAAGATATCCCCAAGACGACATTCAGTTATCGCTATGGACACTACGAATTTGTAGTGATGCCATTCGGATTAACAAACACGCCTACGGTGTTCATGGATCTGATGAACCGAGTATGTCGACCCTTCCTAGATAAATTCGTAATTGTGTTCATCGACGATATCTTGGTCTATTCAAGAAGCGAAGGGGAGCACATCCAACACCTGCGACTGGTACTGGAGACTCTAAGAGCCGGGAAGCTTTATGCTAAGTTTTCAAAGTGCAAATTTTGGCTCCGAGAAGTGGGATTCCTTGGCCACGTGGTTAGCAAGAAAGGGATACACGTGGATCCATAGAAAATCAAGGTGATCGAAAACTGGTCAACACCTACAACGCCAACAGAGATCCAACAATTTTTAGGAGTCGCAGGCTACTACCGAAGGTTCATACAGAACTTCTCTAAGATTGCTAAACCCCTTACCACTTTGACTCAGAAAGGTGTGGTGTTCAAGTGGGAAGATAAACAAGAAGCCGCCTTCCAAACATTAAAACAAGCCGTATGCAGTACGTCGATCTTGTCTCTTCCAGAAGGAACAGATGACTTCGTGGTGTATTGCGATGCTTCAAATCAAGGTCTCGGATGCATGCTCATGCAAAGAGGGAAGGTTATCGCTTACGCGTCTAGGAAACTTAAGACCCACAAAGTTAATTATACTACCCACGACTTTGAATTGGGAGCAGTAGTGTTCACCTTAAAGATCTGGAGACGCTACCTCTATGGCACAAAGTGCACCATCTTCACCGATCACAAAAGTCTTCAGCATATCCTCAATCAAAAAGAGCTCAACATGCGACAAAGAAGATGGGTAGAGCTACTGAACGACTACAAGTGCGAAATCCGCTATCATCTGGGCAAGGCTAATGTTGTAGCCGATGCCCTAAGCAGAAAGGAATATTCGGGTTGCCGGGTGAGGTCATTAACAATGACGATCCATTCGCACCAGTTCACACAAATCAAGGAAGCTCAACTTGAAGCCTTGAAACCAGAAAATGTGACAGGTGAGGCATTGAGAGGGATGGATAAAAACCTAGAAGTCAAGGAAGATGGAGCTCGCAACCTCATGAACCGGATCTAGACACAGAAGTTCAGTGGGTTCCAAGACATTGTCATGAACGAAGCACACAAGACACGATATTCCATCCATCCAGGTTCGGATAAGATGTATCTAGACCTCAAGAAGTTGTACTGGTGGCCGAACATGAAAGCTGAGATTGCTACCTATGTAGGCAAGTGTCTGACTTGCGCCAAGGTCAAGGTAGAATACCAGAAACCATTAGGACTACTACAACATCCGGATATACCTGAGTGGAAGTGGGAACGGATAACCATGGACTTCATAACCAAGCTGCCTAAGACATCGGGTGGGCTTGACACCATATGGGTAATTGTAGACAGATTGACCAAGTCTGCGCACTTCTTGCCAATAAAGGAAACCGACAAGATGGAGAAGTTAACCAGGACGTACATTAAGGAGATTGTGCGACCGCATGGTGTACCAATATCCATTATCTCTGACC